AGAGGCTCAGAGGGTGCCCTGAGGGGCTGAAGGGTTTGAGGGATGCCCTGAGGAGCTGAGGGGTTCAGGGGCTGGAGTGGGGCGTGGGGCTCGGGAGGATGCCCTGAGGGCCTCAGGGGGTGTCCCGTGCGGCTGAGGGGGACTGAGGGGTTCAGTGAATGCCCTGTGGGGCTGAGGGGCTCAAGGCGCTCAGGGGATGCCCTGAGGGGTTTCAGGTGGGCTGAGGGGCTCGGGGGGTTGCCCCGTGAGGCTGGAGTGGGATGTTGATTACCAAAGGGGGTGGCTCCTTTCCCAGCCCCGTGCAGGGAGGTGCTTGGGAAAAGCATCTAGGAAAACCCAGTGGGGTTTGATCCCACACTGGCTCCTGGAATTACAGACTCATAGAATCGTTAAGAGTGGAAAAGACCTTAAAGATGATCAAGTCCAACTGTCAACACCACCACCACCGCTTGCCCAGAGAAGTTGTGGATGCCCCATCCCTGGAAGTGTTCGAGGCCAGGTTGGGAGGAGCTCTGAGCAACCTGAGATAGTGGAAGGTGTCCCTGCCCATGGCAAGGGGTTTGGAACAAGATGGTCTTTAGGTTCCTTCCAACACAAACCAGTCTGTGATTTTATGATTCTATATTAAACATTAAAGTATTCATAGTTTCCTCCTTTGCAATTGATGCTGCTGAATAATTCTCTGACAGCGCTGTGGTACCTCTCTGGGTCTCTGGTGCTGTGCTCCATTTGGAGGGACGTTCCCTTTGGGATCTCCAGACCTGGACCAGCTTGGATTTCAGTGCTTTGGACCACCATGTGCCCCGAGCCTGGCTCTGAACCCCCAAACACTGATGGGCCAGCACATCAGCTGGTGATTCTTTTACAAGTTTCTCTATTTAAGGTTGTTTAGGGTTTTTCCTGGAGAAGGGAGATGTTTTCATCCAGAGCTCCCACCAAAGCCAGGGGGAAGCTTGGGACATCCTTGGGGCAGCTCTGGAGAAAGCAGGGGAAATATTTTAAGACCATGGGGGGAAAAAAAAGCCAAACAAATAAACCGCTGTCTGTTGGAAATGACAGATTGAAGAGATATTATGAGGCAGGACAGCAGGATGCCTGGTTAGATTAAATTAGCACAAGGATTCTTTTATTTTTTTTTCCCCCCTTTATTTTAGGAAAGCGAGTGAGAATGTGGCAGCAAAATCTGCCTGCGGATGAAAAACTCGTTCCGCGGCCTTGAAGGCTGAACATCAACTGGGTGTTTCAAAAGCGAGGGGGAACAGCAAGCACTTCATCTCAAGACCCCTTCCCGGAGGGGGTTCTCAGTGTTTTCACTGGAATCAAAGCCACAGAGCTCTGCAATAACACCACAAAGTCCATGGATGAGGCACAAACATCCACATCTCCCTCCGCTGCTGCACTAACGAGGCTTTTTGAAGTTTGTGGGCTTCCCGTGGCATTTCAGACTTCACTTATCCAAACTTCTGCCTGCGGGCATCCCTCCTCTCCCAGAATTACCACAGGAGTAATAAAACAAATAC